AATAAAAGCTAAAAGAAGCATCGATCGCTCCAGCATCTTTCACAAGGCGTAAACTGGCAAGGGAGACCTCTGAAAACCTGAGAATGAAACGAGAATTAGGAACCCAGGAAGCGTTCTCTTGATTTCTTGTACCACAGGATTACGATAATGTCTCGTACCTCTTAGTTTGATTAGGACAGGAGCATGGAAGCAAGTGCAGGAAGCCATTAGGACAGTTACTGGCATAAAGCTAAACAAGGGAAAAAAGGCCTCGGGCAGTCAATCAAACTGGTAGGTTCAGCTTTACCTCCAAAGGCTGCAAAGAGGTTCAGCTAAATTAATGCCAAGTGGCTGAAATCAATAAGTGAATAAGCCTGTATTTCCCAGAGTGGAGACTTAGCGGGGGGGGGTGTGAAGATTTAGAGCAGGATTCGGGTAGATTGGTCCTCTCATATCCTCCCAAACACAAACCAGACCAGAAATAAACACTAAAGCCCTGCAGTACCAAGGAGAAGAACCCAAAGGAGCAAGTTCTAAGATGGTTGAGAACTGTTAAGAAAGCAGTGTCAGACTTGTGTAGGCGTTCTTGCTTGGGGGTTAATTACTGTAAAGGATCCTTCATTCACACAAGTCTTTTTGTGTCGCTATTGTCTTCTGGCATGGGCTTTGCCATTCTCTGCTTGGTTTCCATCTCCTGGTTCTGTGTTTTTTCCACTTTTAATTGTTCTCGACTCTTTGTTTTCAGTCAAATGTGCATTTTAGCTGGTAGTTAAGCAAACTGGATGCCAGGTTTTTTTTCTGTTTTAACTTACCCACTGTCTTTCTGTGTGGCCTTGGAAGCTAGTCGTAACATGTTCTATGTCTCTGTTTACTCATCTCTGAAATAAATAACACCTACTCAACTGGGGAGTAATGAGGGATAATGAATTAATGCATGCAAGGAGTTCTGAGGTCCTTAACTAAGAGAAAGCCAAGGATCATTAGGTTAGTTAATTCTCTGCTTAGTTTTTCCTCCATTTCTTCTTGGTTTAGATCTCTCAGAATGTGAAGTTAAGTGTGTCAGGACTTTTTTCAGCCTGTTGCTTTAACTCCTGTTGATGTCACTTTTCCTTTCAAGTGGAACTTTAAAACCAATAAGGTAAATTACACACGATCCTAGAATGAGGAACTAACAAAAACATCTCTTTAATTTTTCATCCAGAAAATATTCTCGTTTTACACTCTGCTTCTCTTACTTAAAGGAACCATAAATCAGCATGTTCCTTTGGTGTTTGCAGTCACAGGGAGAGATTTAGTGCTGCTGGCAGGCCCGGGTCTGAAATGGGCAACTGTTGAGGGCAGAGAGCTGTACGGAGCCACATTCCATTCACACGCACACATTTGCTTTACTTGGCTGTCGTCCAGATGATTTTCTGAGTCACTCGTGAGCACGAGGGAAATTGTGTGGGCAGAGGGGAGCGTTTTTCATCTCGTGGTCAGTCTGTCACCTCGACTGGCTTTTATTCACCTTTATTCTCCTGTCTTTGCAGACAGGAGAGAAACACATCTGGGCATTTCGGAGAGCAAGTGGGCATTCCCAAACCCTCCTTCTCAGCAAATATGCTGGCGTGTCACAGCCAAGGACCTGCACCTCCCTGCTTGATGAGAGCAACTGTTCTGTTTCTTGACCATGCAGAGCAAAAGGGGAAAGCCAAAAAGTGTGGGTGTTGCCCAAGATGCGTGTGATTCTGTTCTTTGCCCTGCTGCAGAGCAGGCTTAGCCTCTTGCTGCTATTTCCTCACCAGTACATGTTCCCCAAGTCCTACAATAGCCGTAAGACTTAATTCACTGATGTCTGTAGGTGCTTTGGGATGCACGTTGGTAGCCCTGGGTTGCCAAAGGGTCAGATCCCTTCTGCATATGTACACAAAGCTCCATCTGCCTCTTCCCGCATAATGCTTGCTGGCGCTCCTGTCGCCATCTCCCCAAGTCTCCTGTCACTACAAGAAGACTTCCAGCTGCAAGATACGGTTAGGAGTAGGTTCACCTGCAGTCGCTGAACTCTGATACCTGGCTGTTGATGCTAAAAGCAGCTCTCTCTTTTGGTAAGAGAAGCAGCAGGACTTGCTTGGCAAGCCCGATAGCTTTCCAGGCTCTGACAGTGTCAGCTGTGATGCTTGGTGTCCACCTTTCTGCTCATTTGAGGCAGATTGGCCTCAAAATTGGAGAGTACCTGCAACCTACCAGGTGGTCATTTCTTTCCTTAGCTATAGGGTATGAATTTCATTACTGGCTCTTGTACTTGAACTCCCTTGTCACCATCAGACTCCTTTGCATCAGTAGCTCCAGGTCTAGCATGGCTCTTCACCATATTTATTTATTCATGTTGGGATTCTAGTTCCTCTTGCAACTAACCGACTCCTGCTATTGAGTTTGCTGACTCTACTAAGGTACGAACAGCTGCCAACACCAGTTGCTCCTTTGCTCCAGGATACCTAGTTCCTGGGAAAGGTAACGGGTGGGCTGTCCTCCTGAGGAGCCCAGGCCAACCTTCATGGGACTGCGGGGAGCCAGCTGACTGCTCGTGTGTGCGGTTTGTCTGACTGTGCTGAGGCAAGCTTCAGATTTCCACTTACAGTTTGCTTTTTTTTTATTTTCAAACGTACATGCAAAAAAACATTGGCACATCACAGCACTAGATCACAAGGAAGAGAGGGTGGGGTTTCAGTGGGTGAAGCTGGCTCTGGTATTTGGGAGAAACATCAATTTGCACATAGTTCACTGTAACATTCTCTTAAAACTTCATCTAAACTGAGACCGTCTCTAGTGCAAGAGCCTCTAAAAGTAACGTACAGCTTTAGGAGTTTTTCCATTTTATTTCTTAGGGGTGGATGACCACACAACAAAGGTGGAAGTCACCCAACTGCAGCAGCTTGGTCTAGAACTCATCTATCTGGGCAAACATATGTCATAAATAGCTGTTTCTGCGAAAGGCTTCCCCTTCCCTCATAAAAAGAAATGTCAAAGAGTCTGTAAACTATGTACACAACTGCCTTCTGGGGAGAAACATTGTCTGACACTGAGAGTAAAGGCAAGTCCAGCTACAGAACCTGGCACTATAAACACAACGGGAAGTGACTGCACATCAGCACGTGTCACGTTCACACAGCTTTATTAAAGGTGAAGCAACGGCGGAGGGATCTTTATAAGGGCTGTGGTTCTGTTACACGTCATTCTTTATGTCAGTTCCCTATAAGCAGTCGAGAAGGTGAAAAATGCTGATAGAAAGCAAAATGCATCAGGACTGCATCTCCTTTCATCCCCAAATCCAGGATTATGTCGTTCCTGGGAATCTTCCTCCATAACTGCAGACAACAAAAATCAGCCATTTCTTTTTTTTTTTCATTTGAGAGGCTACACACCTTTAAAACCAGACTGACAAGCCTGTGGAGGCTCAGAAGTAAAACACCACATACAGAAACATGAGTCGGCCAGGTTCTTGGGTTGCACAGCTAGACTCACAACTCTGGAGATCCAAGATTTAAAAATAAGTCATTATTTCCTTTTGAAGTTGTCTGCCAGTTGTTCAGTTCAAATAGACAAGGGAAGGTTAGTTCTGGAGGACCGTATTCCTTCAGCTGACACGCTGTAAGCGGGCTCATGAGAAAACCTGACCTTTCCAGGAATACTGGCTGTCCTTCACATATATAAAAAATGAAATCCCAGACTTGGGTCTTAGGCAGGAGAATAGAGAATTTCCCTTTGGTAATAATTCAGACTTCCATTCTCTGCTCTCTCTTTCTTGCCCTTTTTGTGGGTACATGTAGCAGTGCCCACCTGCTTCTCGTAACTCACCTGCCTCGTGGCCTGATGATGGGTAGAGAAAACGGATTATTCCTTTCTATCCACAGCGGAGACATGCTTTTCTCTTGGCTGAGTCCTGATGTCACCCCTGGGTTGCCCTCGAAGCAAAAACCAAATGTAGCCTCTTGGAGTTAAGTGACTTGGCAGGGACGCATTGTAGGATAATGCAATCCAGTTTCTTTTTCTCATCACTTGTTGGAGGGAACGAGGTGCTAGGATGCCTTGAGCGAACTGGGAGTGCAGTCGGGGTGGGAAATCCCTCTGTGGGCAGACCTACAGAGGAAGGGCTTTCTAGTAGGAATATGTTTAGAGTACAAGCATTTCACTTTGCTGTTTTAAAAAAGAAACAAACAGAAATTAGCGTGGCTGGCAGCTGTGATTTTGTGAGAGTAAGTCTTTGTTCTGTCCATACAGGATTAAAAGTGCCCCTTTAGAGAAAGACAGACAGACATCAAGGCGATAGAGAACTCACTGTGGGTGTGTTACACTTCTCTTGGCATCCTTGAACATGACAGAGGATAAATATTCTGTTGTTTCGTGAAGCAGATACCCGAGCATAGCCGTTTCAATCAGGGGCCAAACTACTGTGCATTTCTGAAATGCCAGACGTTAAAAAACTGTCCTGGTCCGACTGATCGACAACCATGAAGAAACTCTCTGAAGCAGCAGTGCTTTAAAGATGCCTCAGGACCTTGGATTTTACTGTTGAAAATTAACCTTGTCCCATGAAGCCTGCATCTGGACTGGGAAATGAGGCAAAACCATAGCGAGCAGCTCAGCTGCAACCAAGACTTAAATAAACTGAGTTCTTGTGGGAAGGGCACCTCCTACTTCTAGGGGCAGCTGTGGTTAGCTTGGCCAGTCTTTGTTTGCAGGACATAATGCTCAAAAGCTTAAGCACTGGACAAACTGCTAAAGTTACAGCTAAACAACATCATACCATCGATCTACTCGTGGCTAGAAAAAAGGAGAGAGGCGATCCAAAGTCCTTCAGGCTGTGAAAGGTTTCCACGAATTAGTGCTTATATGTGTGGCGGACCTAGTTGCCGCCTCCGTTGTGCAGTGCTCAAGGAATGTCTCTGAAGGTCTCAGTCTTGTTTCTTCTCCCTCACCCTCATTCTGAATTCGAAGCAGCATCCATCCGAGATACTCATGAAGAGTTGGGAGCTTTGCTATGGTCAGGACGTGAAGTAGGAGCTCTGCATGGAGTAGAGTCGGTCAATGGGGTTGCCCACGCGAGCTTGGAGGAGGTTGGCTTCAGCCGTTGACAGCAGGCAGTCTCCCAGGTGGCTGATGCTGTCACTGTCCATATCATGAAAAACTCCTTCTGAGTCTAGAAGAGGAAGGAAAAGGAAATGAGTGTGAACATGACCTGAGCATGTCTTGTGGGGAGCTGCAGCACAGAAAAAGGGTGAGAGCAGGGCCATGTTTCACCTGGAGCCATGGTCACCCTGAGCAGGTATGAGGTGAGCCCCACACACAGGACCAGCTTCAGGCATAAGACCACACCTCAAATACTGTGTTCAGTTTTGGGCCCCTCACTACACGAAGGACATTGAGGTGCTGGGGCGTGTCCAGAGAAGGGCAATGGAGCTGGTGAAGGGTCTGGAGCACAGGGCTGGTGGGGAGCGGCTGAGGGAGCTGGGGGTGTTCAGCCTGGAGAAGAGGGGGCTGAGGGGAGACCTCATCTCTCTCTGCAGCTGCCTGAAAGGAGGTTGTAGTGAGGTGGGTGTTGGGCTCTTCTCCTAAGTAACTAGTGATAGGACGAGAGGAAATGGGCTCAAGCTGCGCCAGGGGAGGTTTAGATTTGATATTGGGAAAACATTCTTCACGGAAAGGGCAGTCAAACATTGGAACAGGCTGCCCAGAGAGGTGGGGGAGTCCCCATCCCTGGAAGCGTTCAAAAAACGGGCAGAGGTGGCACTTCAGGACATGGTTTAGTGGGCATGGGGGTGTTGGGTTGACGGTTGGACTGATGATCTCAGACGTCCTTTCCAACCTTAATGATTCCTAGTTTTACTTTCATTAAAAAATAATCCAGCCACCAAGCCAGGAAACATGAAATTAATTATTACTCTCCCCTTAATTGGTTTAGTGGTGGACTTGGTAGTGTTAGGTTAATGGTTGGACTGGATGATCTTCAAGGGTTTTTCCAACCTAAATGATCCTATGATTCTATGATTCTGTAACTCTTTCCTCCCTCACCCAAATGTTTCATGTTGGATGGAGGTAAAGCCCCAGCCTCACTCGCAGAGCTCAGTCTGAGGCGCTGCCCTCACCAAACTTCCTCTGAGAAAGGCTCTGCACAAAGTCCAAGTGCTGTGGAGCATTCACTGCTGCTGGCTTCATCAGCAGTCACAGCAGAGTTGGCTTTTCATGACTTGGACTGCTCCGTGCAGCTTTGATGCAGAGACAGGACAATCTCCACACCACTCTCCTACCGTAGGGGTGCAGATGGTCTCCTGGCAGCTGGGGCGGCGTCAGCCCTTGTCTGTACAAGTCTGTGCTGTAGCCGTTCTGATCCAGGGGCAGCAGCTGCTGCTGGGGGATCCTGGGGTAGGGGACCATGAGCCCATCCAGGCCGTGAACACTTGCACCGTCTAAAGACACAACCAGTGGGATGGGTTGAAGCAAAGGGTGCACAGCATGCAGCAGGTCAGAGCACTGCCGCGGTAACATTATTCACATCGCTGCAGCGATACTCGGTGGTCTAACTCTGGACCAGCACTGCACGGTACTAAGCTCTATGCATGCGTGCAACAGAAAAAAAACCCATCATCTTCTCAAAAAGAGGAGATAAGTGCTGCGTCACGAGTACCCACGAGTCTTGCTGAACATTATCTAGTTATTCCAGCTTGCAGTTACCCCCATTTGCACACCAATTCAGTTACAACCTGTGTGCTTTTTGCTAATCTCTTCCTGTGTGCGTTCTCTCTCAAATGCATCCAAGTCAATCCCCTCCATCCCAGCCTGCAGCCCCCAGAGCTGTCACTGTGCGCAGCGGCTCCTCACCTTCGCTGTCGTCATTGCTCTGCCTGCTGTTGCGACCGGTCCCTCTCCCGGTCCCTAAGCGAGGGTTGCCCAGCTGGTCTTGCTCCTGCTGTTGCTGCTGCTGTTGTTGTTGCCTGCGAGCAATCTTCTTCATCTGCAAGGAGACGGAGACCCCGGATTTGAGGTTCTGACTGAGAGAGGAGGGGAGTGAGTTGCGTTTAACACGGCAGTGGACCACTGCCGCCTGCCTTTCACAGAGACCAAGCACTGCCGTGATATAACCCTGCCTGGACTCCTCTGGGTGACTCCTCTGCAGTCAATCTTGTCTGCAGTCAGCCCGGTGTGAGAAACGGGGCTGATAGAAATGGTTGTATTATCTTTGTGGGAGATGCCATTTGCAGTTTAAAAACCAAAGGACTTTGCTTTACTACAAAGTGAGGCTTTGAAAGCCACATGTTTTCTGTTCTCACCCTTTAAATTCTGCAAAATTAGAAATGTTTCAACTTCTAGAAGAAAGAAGTGGGAAATCCTTCTAGTCTTTCTATAGTGAAGGGGGAAAAGCAAGTAGAAAAAGAGTAATCAAAAAAAAAACCCATGAAAAATGTTAAGCCCTGCAAACATCTATAATTAATCAAGTTTTGTATTTCTCTTTCAGCTTTTGCTACTACTAGATACATGTTGTAGGACTTGGTGGACCTGTGGATGGTCCTGCGTAGCTGTTCTTCTGTTCTTCTAACCATTTTCTCTTTTTCTAAGCTAGCCTACATTTCCTTTTAATTGAACGAGTGTGTGTGATTTCCCACAGGTATGCAGAACCCAGCTGTGGCACGGGAACCGTCACTCACCTTGGCTCTTTGGTTCTGGAACCAGACCTGTACCACCCGCACAGTCAAGCCCGTCTCAGCTGCCAGGGTCTCTCTTACCTGTCCACAAAACCCGGAGAGCTGAATCAGAACTTAAGTTGCACTTAAAAGGATCCAAGCCAGCAGTTGTGCTGAGTGGCCTCCTTATACCTTTCTGCAAGGTTTTGAGGAAACCTCGAACGAGGCCTTGAATGCCCGACGCTGCTGTGTGGTAAGGATGGTGCGCGGGCGCTTGGAGCGCTTGTGGTCTTTGCTCTCCTCGCTGCCTTTGCCGTGCGAGTGGCTGCCGTCTTCATCCTCACTTTTCACTGCAACAGAAGAGCAGGAGTGGTGATTCAGCAGAGAGTTGCCTTTCTGAGCCATCTCCCGGGGCAAGGATTCAGAGAAACTTGTCGGAGTTTTGCTCCTTCCAAGGTGCGATTTAGAGCAGAAGTGCAGAACGAAGCCAGCAAAGCTCGTGGACTGAGCTGTGGCTCAGGGGAACACTGTCAATTCAGAGACAGAGCTGAGGGCCCACCCTGGCCCCATATCATCTGTTCTGTAGTGTCTCAGAGGAGCCCACCCAAACCTCTCCAGAACAGCCAAGTAGATGTCAGCACCCTGGTACCCCCTTGGCTGCCTATCACCAAGGGAAAAAGATGCTACAACCTCCCTACCTACATCTCCTCCCTCTGAAGCCTTCCCTGTAGTTAATTAGGGACCGGGCGGTACCTGCCCTCTATAAGGTTCACCCTGGTTCCCCACCCTCGGCACCGCTCCAGCCCCAGCCCCTCACCAGACTCAGTGGGTGCCGGGCTGATAGCACTCAGCATCTCCTTCTCCTTCTCATAGTCACTGCGGCACAGCAGCTGCCCCTCCTTGAGCACAAACTCATCTCCCCGCTGCAGGCGCCGCTCACACTCGCAGCAGTAGAAGCAGTGAATGTGGTAGACGTTCTCCAGCACCCGCATGATGAGCTCGGAGGGGGCGATCGCCTTCAAGCAGCTGCTGCACTTGGTCTGGAACAGCCTGCAAAGAAGGTCCTGGTGGTTAGACACTTGGGCAGGGAAGATCAGCCCTGGGTTGGGGCTCAGGAAGCCAAGGGAAGAAGGGGATGGATGTTTGGAGCTGTGCTAGCACATCCCAGCAAGAAGTGTACATCCCCACTGTGTTTTGGGGCTTTCTGACCTTCTGTAGCCCCAGAGAGGAACACAAACTTGCCTGGCCCAACAGGACAGAGCTTTATGTCCCCTCTTCCTCTCTAGGGCTGTCCACTGCCTGGCTTTGTTAGGTTGCTCCTGGTGAGAGGACTTTATGGACCCCTCCAGGACCATCCCCAGGGCTTGGAGGAGCCTTACGCAGGGAGTCCCACAGGGGAGGCTGTTTGTGCCCCACACCGCGTCCAGAGAAATAAACAACTGCTGAGCGCCCTGCGTACGGAGCAGATGGTTCTGATGAAGTAATTTGGGATCTAAACAAATGTGAGCGGTGGTGGCTGCCGGCTGACAGCTTCTATTTAGCCACTTGACAAGAGAAAGTAATAAAATAGGGATTAATTAGGCTGTTGTTTAAACACACAGGATCTTCCCCACCAGCAGGGAACTCATAAACTGGGATTGAGAACAAGACTGGGTTAATCCTCCTGGCAAACTCTGTGGAGCAGGATGAAGAGGCTTACAGGGGTGGGCTCATCCCTTCCAAATACCACCATGGATTTGTGCTGTGCGGTGGCTTTCGGCTGAAGTGTCTGGGACATTCCAACTGGAATGGTGTGGGATTTCTCTCTCCTTTGTGTGAGCGTGTTTGCATGCATGTTCCTCTCTCCCTCCCCGACTCTCTTTCTCTCCCCCTTTCCTCTTTGTCTTTCTGTAAGTCACACTTGAAAAATAATAATCGAATTTGAGTTGAAAAAGCTGGGAGTAAAGAGCAGTCTTTTAACCACAACCTCTCACTGTCTTAACGAAGGAGCAAACTGGGAGCGTGTTCCAGGCGCAATCCCAGTCCAAATCTGGGCTGAGTCCAAATCTGTCCCTTTCCTAACACCAACATCCTTCTGTTACAGCAGAAGTGAAATACTAAAAAGAATAAAAAAGACCCAACAATAGAGCCGGTCTGTGATCACGGCTATCTGGGATCAGTCAGGAATATGTGGCATTACTAAACATTAAGTTATTAATGTTCCTGGACTTTAAGCCCAGATGGAAGATAATGGTGGTGTAGTCTGACCCTGTGTTCATTGCAACCCAGAGAGTCTCGCCCAGGGATTCCCACCTCAAGCCTGTTCGCTGGTGGTAGAGGTACGGCAAAGGCCAGCCAGTCGTGGCCCAGAGGCTCCGAGTGAAGAAGGATCTGTCTGCATCCTTTTGGAAGAGGTTCCAGAGGCTAACTAGCTCCTCGTTCCTTATTTCCAATTTGAATTTTCCTTTATTCCATGCCCAGCAACTGGACTTTGTCATGTCTTTATCTTCTTGAGAACCGCTTGTAATTAGTTATGCCAATTGTGGGTAATCAAACTGTTCCTCTTTCCAGGTTTCTGTCCCTTACCCTTCAAACAACCGGTTTAAAAGTGAGCATTGACTTTTCTTTGCATCTCGGCTGGGAGAATTACTGTCCCCAGAGAAAGATCTGCCTGGCTTCGCTATATGCTGTCACTAGCTGAATCTAGTGACACAAATACCACTTGACTTTGAGACAAGCTAGCCCCAAGCTCCCATCTGGTCTTACTGTATCTTTCAGACGGGTTTACTCCTGTAACGCACCCAGGCCAAGCTGGTTCCGCCCCAGAGCCCCAAATCCAGGGACAGACACTTTAGGAACATAGACCTGACAAACAGAAGCTTTACTTCAATATCCCGATCTGGCTCCAAGTAAGGAACAGGATAGTTTAGGAAAACACTGATGGAAAACTCCCTGTCTTGTTTCACACTTGTGTTTTCTTAATTATTTCTATCCATATAGATACTGGAGCATTCCCTGGGTCCTTTTATATTTCTAGCCTCAGTGATATCGCTGGTTGCTTGAGGAAAACATCCAGAATATTGCTTAGCCAAGGCAGGTAGAGGAAAGCTTTGAGCGTGATGTGCTTCTAACTGCGGGCAGGCTGATAGTGAAAGGGATGGAGCAGAACAAGGAGACGTGGAAATGGATGTCGGAGCTGGGAAAGGAGACCTATTCACCTGCAAGGCACCAAGCTGATTCCTCCCGCTGCCATTGGGACGAGGCAGTTAGCAAGCCTTATTTAAAGATGCTGTCATGTGCCAGATTTCCATGAAAAGGGCTTTTTTGCAGCTATCAGGTGAGGGAAGCGCTGTTACTGCAGCGTAACTCAATAATGCTTTTGGCGTCGCAAGGCCCGCACCCTCCCATCTCCCAGCTAAGCCCCGAAAACAAATCCGCTCTGCTTTGTACTAATTGAAGAAAACATTCAGCAAGCAGCTCATAAACACGGTGTCAGCTCGCATTACACAAAATTAAAATTCTCAGCCCCTCCAACACCAGGAATTCCTAAAGAGGCTGGTTTTAATATTGCCTGAATCCGTTTAAGTCAAGGTAATATTGTTTGGGTTGCCATAGGAACAAAATACATCTCCGTTGCTGGCAGTGGGTTACAAGGAGGCTTGGGAGGCTGTGCTGTGGATGCGGCCACGCAATGTCTAGAAGCAGCCGCCTGCAGAAACTACGCTGAGGGACAGTCCGAAAAATAAGCATGTTCCCAGGTTCATAATGAAAAGTGCATTTAGGAACAGCAGTGACACAAGCGAGATCTCTGCATGCTCCCGGAGAAGAGAACGGCCTCGGCAGTGGCAGGACCACTTCTGAGTGCCTGTAACTCATGACAACTGTGCCCTGCTCCTTTTGGAAAGACCCTTATGCTGCCTGGGCCTCATAGTCCATGTGCCTCCACTTCTCTTCTGACCAAGTCTCCCCATGTCCTTACTCAACACTCTTGTTTCCTCAAAATCCCATCTGAATTTGATTTCTTTTCAAGATTTCCTTATGGCAGGCATGGTAAGGCTATCGACTTTTATTCCTGCGATCATTCAGAAACCATCCAGCAAGTAGAAGCAGGTGCGTGCACACAGGTACACATCCCACGTCCTTCTTAGCAGCTTACCTCAAATTAATTACCCTTGCAAATGATAGAATTTGGTTTTCCTACCAGGGGATTGCTCACCTTGATGGAAAAAGTGTCAGTAGCAGGAAAGCAGATGGGCTTATAAGTGGGAACATCTTTGGAAATTGCAAAGAAGGCGGCTCTGGAGCAAGCAGAATGGTTACTCACAAGTCAGCGTCGTGAGAGAGGCTTGGGGCTACAAGCACAGTTTTTGGCAGCCAGTTCTTCACGCTGATGGACATTCAAGGCAAGGGGACTGGCGTTGCGGGCAGAATAGCAGCCTGGCAGCTGCCTGATAGAGGGCAAGCACATCGGTACCGTTTGCCAACTCGGAGACAGCACATGTCACCCAAGCAAGGATGAAGATACACGGCATCTTAAAGAGAGCTTTGATGCTGGGCTGGAGGCCAGATTCACTGGCTGCCCGCACTCTTCCTGCCAGGAGGTATTTGAGGCCAGCTCTGGGGCCACATGGCTGACAGGAGCACGTGCAGCAATGCCTTGAAAGTCCCAGTGCTGTTTCTCTATTTCTCTTTTATGCCTGGACATTACAGCAATGCCCAACATCTTCTCGAAGCTTGCTGAAATCTTGGTCCCAACAGTGTCCTGTAGCAAGGAGTTACATGCTCTGTGAAAAACAGTTCCATTATTTGATTCCCTCACCCTACCTACAGCTTCACTGTCTCTTTCTTTACCATTAACAATTTGTCTTTAATAACCAAACAGTTGGGGAGAGCCCAGCATATAATTCATTTCCCCCTGAGAAGTTCAGTACAGTTTCAAAGTGTGGAGCAGCGGGAAGAGGAATCGCAGCAAAGCGACCACGTGCATCTGCCTGGCTTTTTGCACACAGCTGAGGAGCTCTGAGATCTTTCTACGTCTTTTCAGACGTTTCATGGACTTAATTTATCAGACTTTAGCCCTGGTAGCACACCCCAATATCTAACGCTCCGTTAATCCTTGCAGAGCACCCCTGTCGCAGCTCAGGGCACCGCGCTCTCTGCCGATGGCTCTGGAGGAGAAGTGGCAGCCCAGCTCCCAGCTCTCCAGATGGGGATGAGCTGAGCAGCAAGTTATTTGAGAACCTCTCTGACCTGCCATGGCACAGAGAAGACGCTGACCCAGGCCTGGGAAGGGTAATTTGGGGGGTGTATGATTGTCTCGATGGGATTAAAAGGTGTTAATGAAGCAAGGAATAAGCTGGGAGGCCTGTGCTTCATGAAATGGGCTTATTTAGTTAGGGTTTAGTCAAAATGAAGCAGTCCAGGCTTAAGCAAGGTCTGTTTACTTAACATTGAGCTGCAAAATCCATTGTAGCCGTCTGAAATATTGAAGTGGAACTTGCAAAGCCTCTTTCCAGATTTCGGGCTGGGGGCTAGGGGCGTGATGGGGAAGGGGACACACAAGGGAAACGAGGAGGCAGCGGCAGCACAATATGCTCTTTCATTCCCTACCGCAACAGCCATTTCCCCCAGTTCAGCGATACAGAGTGGCACCAGGGGATTAAGGGGAAAAAATTTCCTTCTGCTTAATTTCTGACTTCTTCCAGCAATGTTTGGGTCAGAGACAGAAGGAGTAATTTGGGGGCAACAGTTACCTTTGCTTTCTGTTCCCTCCAAAGCTCTTTGTGGGTTACATGAATAGATTTACCCCCAGAAAGGAACTTTGTAATTGTATAATTATGTAATTGTGCCTCTTGTCAGAAATAGCCAAGACTCAAGCGTACTTGAACCTCCTCTAATGTGAGTGTGTACACCAGAAAAGAAGCCTTCAGAAGGCAAACCTTACCAAAGCCAAACTGCCTGCTGCGTGCAAAGTTCTCCCCCAAGGAGTGGAAAAAGCAAATTTAAAGTAACAGGTGTTAGTCGTCTCACTTAAATGTTTCACTAAAAGGCAGAAGGGTGGGGTAGGAGTC